GTTTAACGCTACATAATAACGTGAGAGTCTACTTATGCCAGCAAATCCACGACTTGAAATTTTGCGTATTATTGTTAAAAAAAATTAAATTGGATACCCGGTATTTCGCTCGATAGGTCGGCCGCCACATTTTAACAATTACTCAACAAAACCCGTCCCTCCGTCCGTCAGGCCGTCCTTAAAATAGTTGTTATCGCTATTTCTCCGAAATTACTGGAGAAATCTTTTTTGAATTTCAAATGGATGTACCCCAAGGTCCCCACTTTGTTGAAACTTATTCGACAACAACAACAACGATTAAAAAAATACTAAGTCTGCTGCCCTCAAAGTCACGAAAGTGTAAGCTTACTATCGCATAGGTATTTTTCTAATTCATAATACGTAGCGCAAAACTTCTTGAACATAGGAATATGATATTTGGTTTAAAATATAGGAGAAAATACCGCAAAATCACTTTTTTCAGCTCCTCTTCATAAGGCTTTGTCTCGACATTTTGTAAAAATGTCCCCAAAGACAGACAGTATTTCTACGGCGCCACAACCATCTGTGGCTTATCCGCTCATTACTAGACAAAGTCGAGAGGTGTCATCTGGAGATCACCGAAAATCATCACGAGGAAGTGGACGCCCAACGTCTACGACATGCCAATTGGCAACTATGCCATCTGAAGCCAATTTAATTTAAAGGTACCGCACGCGAAATCCTTCACGCGCAACCAGGACTGGTCGCACTGACTTGCTACCTCGTAAACATTTTACGAAGGATTTGTCAAAATGTTGTCCATGTGTTGTTAAATGGCTTTTCTCCAGCAATCACAAACTTTTTCTTCACTCCCGACTCATAAGTTAAACCTGCTAGGAGTTGTCGAACAGTTTACTCCAATGCCGCAATGCGGAAAAGGCGACGTAATGAAATTAAAACATTTTACAAGAATATAAGACTTCTTCATGCCCAGGGGTGTAGGATAGGGAAATTCCACCCGAGGAGTTTCAAATTTGGCAAGACCCTCGGCTCCTCGAGTGGAATACCCCTGGGCATGAAAGCGTCTTATATGGTTACCCTCTAGCGGGTACCTTCATACATGCCAATCTTCTTATTATGACGTGAAGTAACAATGCTTTGCGACGTCATCTTTCATTGTTACGTCATAGTTCATGGCAATGGTATCCTCACATCGGAAACTTTATATTTATCATTTTTGGAATCTGTACATCTCATAGAAAATTCAACATTTAGTTGAAATAATGTATGTATCGTGTATGCTTGCTCAATGAATAGAACAGCCATCGACCAAGAAGGGTCATTGGTATCCAACGTAAAAATTATGACGTCAACAATCGGTCCATGGCATTTATAGCCGATATGAATGCCAACTGAAGTTAGTAGGATTATAGAGTGATGGTAAATATGAATAAATGTATGCCCAAGAGAAATGTATCGTTTTCAAGTTTCACTTTTCAGAACGTTGTGGGAGAATAAGGTCCCCAAAGTCGTGATGGTTAGTTATCAGGTTTACACATTTTAGTTAATTTTCAAATTGTAAAAGACACTCGGTAAATCACTCGAGTAAGATAAACATGATAAACCACATTCATTTAATGGGGGAACATGTATATACCCTTGTTAAATAAATATATCTATTACAAATAGCTGGCTAGCCGACACTGATTCCATCCGGGGAGTTGGCCGATATCGGGATGTTGCAGATTCAATCGGGAACCGTCGACACTTTCCGTAAACGATAAAATACAGTATTTTCTCGTTTACGGAAAGTGCCGACGGTTCCCAGTTGGTTGCAGATCATCACCCAAATGCTGAAATCAATCTGTAGCGAACGTAAATCGCAAAAATAAAGTCAGTTATCATTATATTAATCACTGTTGTTGTCCCGGATGTTAACACGCAGCGGGTCTTAATGTGGGAGGAAACCCACGTGGCCGGGCAGGTGACCACATATCTGTTCACGGCCGCCTTGGTGAAATGCGAGTGCGTTATCCACTACGCCACCCGATCACGTTAATTGTATTGGGTTGCTCTAAAATACAAACTTTACACAAATGGTAATTTGACGTCCTTACCGCATTGTATGATATTACATGACGTCACAATAGCTGGCGAATGTTTGTGGAATCATGGGTACCAGCAGAAAAATAACGAAATAGAAAAATCAAGCAATGTCTTTTTTTTAGTTTTCTTGTGCAAGGTATAAGAAAGAAGTCAATCACATCATCGTTTAAACTTTTATTTTATTGCCAAAAATATTGAACACGGGATATTGCACAAGTTATTACAACTTATCATAGCCTTCTCCCGTCATACATTTACAATTGCATGGCAACAATGATAATAGGCATAAACATGAAGTAGATATATAAATAAACATTGACATACACAAAAATCCCAGCATAAACCTATTGCTAGATTTGATGAAATGATGCGCATGTCTAAACACGTAGGTGTTAAGGTCCAATGAAGTTCTAGATTTAAACTCTACAGCGGAGGTATTCACATTTTGAAACAGCACTCGTTGCTTGTCAAAGGAAACAGACGTTTTCCAAAGTTCGCAAAGTAAGTTTTCAATTCCTGTTTCTGTTCACAACAAACACAGTCACAATAATACGTCTTAAATTGCCAAAGAGTTGACACTGACAGAAAAGATGAAAGGCTTTCCTCAAATCAACATCATGACGTCATACTATTTGGAATCCTACCGTTCACTCATGTGTTGAAAATCCGTTATTTATCATATACCGAAAGAGATCAATTTAAAAGTTGTCTCACCTTAGAAGCGTTTTCTTCAACACGTTCCTTTATATAAACTCTAATGACAACGGTAACATGCATATGTAATCAAAAGATAAACGGAGAAGGAAGGAACGGAAGGAGGAAAGAAAGAGAAATTGAGGAGGTAGAAGAGGAGGAGAAATGTGTGTGTGGCTACCTTCGACAAGGGATATCAATATTGTAGAGAAGTGAGAAGTGGACTAAAGAAGAAAGCATTTAAAAGATTTTGCGCGAAGCCCACATTGGTCTCCTCAATTTAATGGTCGTGTCGTATGATTCAGAAAGTCGAATATCTTATTTATTACAGTACAAAACAATATAAAAAACCCATTGAACTTAGTCAATATCAGGGCCCATATTCATAAAACCGTTCTAATGCTCAAGCATGTATTTACTTCCGCATGTAATTCACGTTACGCTAAATTGTATCAGTTGATTTCCTTTATTTAAAAAAATCAATCCGTTTATTAAAAAGATAAAACAAAACAAAAAAAACAAAAGAAAAAAGAAAAATAATTATCATACCGTTATGGGAAAATTAAAAAAAAAGTTAGATCTTGCTTCTAAAGCCTTAATGATCACTGTCCCACTGCACTGTGGTTTTTCGTTTACAGTAACCTCCCCTTACTTACGTTTTAGATTCACTTCTTCCGTTCACCAGGTGATTCAATCGGTCAGAGTGACATTATACCAATCTGAGGTTAGGGTTCGAATCCCTGCCTAACCCTGTTCAGAACACTGCTGTTGACTATGTTTTTTTTTATATCTTTTAATTTTACTACTTGTTACAGTTGAACCAGCCGAGAGTAAATCTGAAAGGTTATTGCTTCAGATTTCTTCATTTCGATCGTTGTAAGTTAGTTGTTCGGTTATGTTAAATGAACGTCTCATTTAATATTGAAAAATGTAGAATTGAGAACTACCCTCATCTATTAGGAGCCAGTTTCCTTGTCCTTCTCAATTATCACAAACCAATTACAACCTTAGTAATTTTGATGTTAAAAAGGCATTATAAATAACAACAGATGAGTAAAAAATAAAAAGATAAATAATTTGAAAAAAAATGAATAAATAACTTAAAAATGAATAAATTAATCAAAAATAATAATGAAAAGTAAAAAATATAAAGAAGTAGAAGTAAAAATAAATGAATAAATGAATAAATAGATAATTAAATGAAATGAATAAAAAAAATAAAAAAGGCTTACAAAATATCAGAAGCAATCAGTAATTTTCTTGTTTCCTTGGTTTTGAATAATGGATCGGTGTTGTATATTGATTCGAAGTCTGAGCCGGACATACGTCAATTCCGATAGGTGTTCTTAAAGTGTAGTTCAGTGACGCGTATACTCACCCTTGTTACTAACCCATACGCGCGCGCGCACCGATATTACTCCACAGCATTATAAACAAACATTTACCAATTCGTCAGAAAATAATCCCACTAGGCGCAGTTCCATTATTTTCCCCGTAAGTTTCAACCCTGGAACAATACATATTTTGCCGAGATAATTCTTTAAACTAAATATTAAAAGTATTGTTTACTTGTTGCGTATTTCGTTTTATAATTCACGAAGTGTTCAATGAATTACAAATGATATTGTATGAATCGTTGTAAGTGAACCAAGAAACATTCGTATTTGCAGACTCCTATCTCATGTGCAAGCAAATGATAAAATCCTCTATCAGTTATGAAAGAGATATATTAAGCTGACATGTCTTGCTTTTACAAAATGCTACGATCTACCACTCAGAAAGGTCACTCACATATATATCTTTATCTTTCTGACGTATATATGCGGTACAAATAGAAGAGCGGAGATTAACTATTAGGAACGTCGTGATATAACACATAGATTACATTAGGTAAGATTTGTTAAATCAATGGTACTGTAATTTAATTAATAGTCCGTATGTTATTGAGCAGGAATTCTGCAGTATAGAAATATACAAATGTTTACAGATGTACAACATTGGTTCCCCGCAAGGTGCCCGCTCTTGATTAAAATGCATTGGAGGTTTATAATGCCAGTGGCGCAAGGAACGGTGCAAGTTTGTCGATGAATGTGATAAACACACATGTTTCACTCAATACTAAAACCGCTAATATAATTTTATTGACTGTCGCTCTGTCTAACCTACGTCATAGCCTAGACTCATCCTTAGCAACGCAGAATACGAAACTTTCATCTGCAATTAGTAGGCAACTTCTAGCTCGGTACTGACGTCACACTGACGTCACAATCCGGTATACACGGCTCAGCGCCATGCAAAATAATATGAAGCAGTCACTGAGTGAGTTTGGGGCTAAAGAGACTCTGTGTGTGGATGTACGACAAAAAAGAACGGATTTTACTAACCAAACATAGACCATGGTCATGGCTGAGAGATCGAAGGGTCACGTTCGGGTGGGATTTTACGATATTGAGAGGACCATTGGAAAAGGAAACTTCGCGGTGGTCAAACTGGGAAAACACCGTATCACGAAAACCGAGGTTAGTAGCTGCATGCATTCAAATAAAAACACTCTCATGGCACTGCTTATATTTAAAATAAATGTCTAACTTCCTTAGGCGTGTAAACGTCAAAACTGCGTGTCTGGTGCCCACAGTATCTTGCAAAGCGACCGTGTGTATTGTGAATGTGTTCGTCTCCATTGTGCAATCTGTGATACTGACATTTCCCTGTTTGTTTTCCAAAACGTTATGAATTTACGTTCTAGACCTAAAAGTCATCGTCAATTTAAAGTAAACTGCATAACACGTACACAACTAGGGATGCTATGTCTGTGTACTGACCTGTCACCAAACGTAAACCTTTGAGCCGCCTTCTCAATCCTTTGTGTATTGAGGATACAAATGATGACATTGTAGGCCTATTACAATCTAACCTGTTTAGCCCGAGGCGATAAAGACAAGTGTCCGTTTGTGGTCACTCCAGGTTAGCTGTCTTAAATGTCATATTTCTGTTCAAAGTACATATTAATGTGGCATGTGCATGTAATCCAACACATGTGTTTTTGTGTGTATAAAGCTATTTTTAGCAACAATGAGCAGACTATATATATCTTTTGCACATGTAAAATGTTGAAAAATATTTTTTTCCCATTTGAAACAGTTAAACTTGATTTCATTGCTTCTGTTAATATCAGACTTTTATGAAAATTGAGATAAAAAGACAGAAAAAAACAACCTCTTCAATTTTTTGAGCTTCTGAAAGCAATTATTTGACAGTATATAAATATATATATATATATATGTCGATCTGGACTCAAATATATAACAATTGTACATTTTGGGATTAAGAAATCTTAAAAGTTGATCAGATAACCACTTTGTTTATATCACAGTCCATGCATTGAAAAAGAAGGTCATATTATATACACATGTGTTTATAACTTCATAAATAATACTGATTGACCAGGTTATTGGGTCACTTATAAGGTCTATAGAGCCTCATCATTTTACAAGGAGCATACATGCAAATACATATTATAGGCATATCTTTTAATATTGCATATTTTTAAAATAATAATATTAATATGCAAACATTGTTAAGTTTTAAAAAGCTGCATTTCTGCAATTCTGACTTGCTGAGAGAATCCCCAAACGGATAAATTTTTTGTCCATGCAAAATGATTGTTGCATTATTTTCTTTTATAAGGTAAACTCATTCACCCCAACATATCTAAAGTGTACTTGGCCAGTCACCCGAGTCAATTCACGACTCTGGTTACTGAAGATTTTAATCAAGGCTAGCAAAAATATTCAATATTTGTTATGAAATTGTTGGTTTGGGAAGATTTCAAAAATCTTCCTGTGGGCTAGCACTTTTAAATAAGAAACTGAACATCCCTGACAGTATATATGTATACATATATTTATCAATAACAAAAATGTCAGTGAAACCTGGCTTTACCAACACTTCACTTAACCCTTTCACCCCTATGTAACTTAGTAGACTCTACCATGCATTGATATGGATGAGTCCATTATGGTCTACAGTGGTGAAAGGGTTAAAGGACATCCTACTGTATATGGCCATCTTTTTTGGCCCCATCATACTCAGGTTTTCTGTAAGCATTCCTAATATTGATAAATAATTAAAATTTTTGTTCTTGTTCAACTCATTTAACTCATTCACCCCTGAAGACACATTTGAACTCTTCCTAATCAATGGTTGGAATAGTTCATTATGAAGTTTCCGGGGTGAATGTGTTAAGGAGGCACGGGAGTCAAGTGGTAAGACGCCAGTCACGTGATTGAAGGGTTACAGGAACGAGTCCTGGAACAGCACTGTGTTGTATCTTTGAACAAAATACTTTACTCTGCTTGTTCCAGTCTACTCAGCTGTAAATGAGTATGTGGTTAGACAGTGCTAGAATTGTTGAATGCTAGCTGTGAGCGCCGAAATGGCAGCACCGGCTGTATGCTCCCAAGGGAGTAGAGAAAGGCATTGGCTAGTTGCAAAGGCCCTATAGCCACGGATAATAATTTGTGAACTGCTTTGAGACGACCTACAAACTTACTAGGTTGTGATAAAGCGGTATATAAGAAACTCAAATTATTATAGCCGATAAACAGGTAAAAAGAAATATTAGCAACTAGATCCTGAGAGAGCCTCGAGTTCCATTTGTACAGGTAACCAGGAAATGATTGATGTTTAATCAAGCACTTACACCAGAAGTTGGTCTGCCTGTGGACATTCAGGGTGGTATCTTTCTGGGTCACATTTGACAAAAATCTCTTCATAATTTGAAATGCAATTGTTTGTCAAGCATATTATTACGATGGACTCAATTATCATCAGTGTTAATGATGTTTTTGACAGTTTTATGAAATAATTTGTAATAAATGGTTTAATTGTACATGTGCCTAATAAAAGAAGTATTGTAGATAAGATATATTGGTTCTGTATTTTCCCAAATGCTCCTGCATACGTATTGCATTTGCCAACATTATAAGCTCTTGAAATACCGATTACTGAAATCGCATGCCTGAAAAATGAATTTTCTTCCCGATATTGACCTTTTTACCTCATTCACCCCTACATATTTAAATTGGACTCGGCCAGTCTATGATTTGGTAAGATTCAAATGTGACTTTAGCCCTGGGTGAATGGGTTGAGGTATAAACTCCAATGTTTAAAACCTATACTCTTTCTATTGTTTTTTAATGCAGTTTTTCTCGCAAAAATTGAAAACCTCTATACTCTATAATTTCTGCTGTTTTGTGATGCATTTTTTCTCTCTCGCCAAATTGATCAAGGAAAGATGATGCCTTTTCCATTACACAGAAAATGTCCTTGTTTAAATGCAAGGCTGCTTTGTAACAGTTTCTTGTTATTGACATTCACAAGCAATTGTCACGTAGAAAAAAAATTGATGCTCTAGATCTGTTCCCATCGATTTGTAGATCCTGATGCCCATGCAAAACAGTAATTGGAATCTGAAAAGTTTCACTGTTTTGGAGAGAAAATTGATGCTGATCCTAACAGAATACATCTTTGACGAGCTAGACATTTTCTATGCATAAAAATGAAGCAAAGCACATGTTGAGTTGATAAGAATAGACTTTTCAAATTCACCTAAAAAGTTTTTGACCATCATGGATACAATCCATTCCCAGACAGTAGGCGAATGCATATTGCTAGTTACTTGTGAATAAGAAATATTTTAGCTCAATTACAGTTTATTGAAATGAAAAGTATTTTTTTTTCAGGACCCCCCCCCCCCCCCACAGATAAATTACAGCTATTGATAAAAGCTTAGAATAGAGTTAACATTTTTTGGATGCAATTTTTCACTTTCAAATTTTCAGCAGATTGCATTTTTCTGACCATCATAGATATATACCATCCCTGACAGTAGTCCAATATGAATTATATTAGCATAGCTTATAGGCTCAATTACAGTTTAGTGAAATGAATAGTATAAATTGTAACTATTGATAAAAACTTTAGATCAACATTTTTGATTCAGATTTTCACTTTCAAATTTTCAGCAGAAATTTAAATTATGCAGACCGTAGCTAGCCCCATCAGAGATTTTACACAGTTACAAACAAGAAATGATTTACGTTTCTTCAAGTCAAGTTTTTACTTGATGACTGAAGTGACTTGCATCATAACGATACATGTATATGTATATGACTAACTTTATAACAAGGTTGGTTTTATCAAAAAACTCTTTTTCAATTTTCTGTCTGGCTTTGATATTTATTTTGAAGATTGGAAATTAGGATATGAATTGAAAATAATTCAGCTTTGCAACATAAAATTGTAAATTATTCTATCAATTGAAAATAATTCAACTCTGCAACATACATGAAATTGTACTATTTGTGTATCACTATTTAGTCTGCAATGTATTATTATACGAAATTCGAATGGCGTGAGGAAATCAAAAACGATCTTATACGGCTCTGCTGAAAAGTATATAGTATTTACATGTGTATATAAGGAATTCTATATAGCTTGTGAATGACTTTGAGAGGACCTACGCATCCGTTCTAGGTAGTGATAAAGCGGTATATAAGAACCTCAGATTATTATTATTATCAAGATCTTTAAGTCTTCTTATGCGGAATGACAAACCCTATAAACATGTACCGTCACCACCCACATACATGTACTTTGGTAGAATCAACTCTTAATCTACAGATAGATTTGTTGTAATTTGGCCACTGTCCAGACGAAACTCCTAAACATCAGTGAGGCCCACACCCTCCTATATATACAGTATACATATCCAACGTGCTGTACCTACACTTGTATTTGTTGACTTTAGACAAATTTTCGTCAAATGGAAGTGTTATCTTATATATATACAAACATGTTAATTCTGACAAAATTATAGCATGGACCGACCATTCAACCTTGTGTTACATTTTAGCAGGGAGAGGTATGTCTGATTCTATCGAATGGTATTATTCACTACTTGTAAGCTACAGGTGACTGAATTAATGTCTTTCACAAGGTTGACAATATCAATCATCCCCCCCCCCCCCCCCCCCCCCCACACCTATCTTAGTTTTAGTTTTGTCTAACTAAAACGTCTCATTTCAAATTCGTTCACCATCATTTTCAGCCTACACAGAAAGGCTTATTGGCTGATTTTCTACATTTTGAGAGATCTGAATGTCCTACACATGGTTAAGTTATATACTATATGTACCAATATGACAAATCAACAGTGAATTTGTTCAAGTTTGAAGTGTATTCTTTTCATTTCTTTTGTAAAAAGTTACAATTGTTTTAGAAAGAATATGCATTGACTAATATTTACAATTTTACTGTAAAATAACCCTAAAAAAATGTTTACACCTCAACAGTTCATCCTGGAGACTTAAGATAATCTGACTTTCTGATGACGCACACTAAAAGTGTATTGCCCTCTGAGTATACTGGATTATACATGTGTGTATTCTAAACTACATTCCAAGGTCAGACTTCTAAGTACATTTAGATCAGCTAGGAGTAGGACCCTTTGGGCATG